ATGCGCCGGAAGGTGCAATTATCTCGGCATTAAAGGAGGAGCTTTGACAACTAAAAGTTCCCGCGACGATATCATCGTCTCCTTTTGTTCGTTCACGACCAAGTTCCATTTCATTTACGTTTATTCGTTTCAAACGAACAACGAAATTCGCCGAGAGATCTTGCTCCTTCGACAACGATCTCGGGAGGATAAGCGAAGACGCGAACGAAATCCGTTCCGGATCAATTGCAGCGAGACGCGTTCTGCTCGCAGGAATCGGGACACGAAGAACAGGCTATCCTTTATTTCCGTCAGCGAGCGTTACAATCGCGGCACCGCTCTCTGCGTACCGGACGCAAAAATTCGAGGCAATTTGTCCAGGATTTTTCCGGGGCCGAGCTAAATCGCCGCGAGCGAAACGCATAAATAATGGAAAACGAGCAGCTGCAAAGGCAACGAAGCAAATTTGTTACGACGAATAAATACCGGCTACCGTGATTCATGACAGCCAGAGATCATGATCAAGAATATCGCAAACAGTGGAAAACAGCGTCACCTCTAAATAGGATGAATGCTTGATGATATACATTCGCGCGATTCGCGTACCGTCTGATTAATGCACGATAAATAGAACGAATAACGGAATGTGAAATCTACCGGGAAAAGTGCTGAATTTTGTACCATTTCTCGCCGTGCTTATTCCCGTGCGTTTATACAACGACGCGTGTAAGTACATAAATCATGGATGATCGGTAATTAAAAGCACGAACGAAAATGCTCGGCACAAAGCTTAGAAATGAATTTCCCTAGCGGGGAACGTTCTACGCGCTTTCAGTCCTTCGCGGAGGTGAAATCTAATTTCTCGCTTCGCAACCGGTCTACGAGACCACTTTCGCCGGTGGAAACAGCTTCCAGCGGTGGTAATGTGTTAGCTTTGGGACCATCGATCGCGTCATCGTCATCGTCGGCGCGCCGCGATCCGAATCGTCGATACGCTGCCGATCGATGTTCTGCGCGGTCGCGGTGTAATGTCTGGTAACGTTACACCGGAACTATTTACCCCCCCGGAAGTACACCGAAACGCTAGTAAATTAACGGCAGATCTAAAATCGTGGTATTGGCTGACACGGCCGGATTACACGGCAAACGTGAGCGCACTGTTAATGGATCCGTCTGCCGAAACTTTGTTGGCGTTCGCTATGGTGAATTTACGATTAATCCACAGAGCTGACTCGTTCGAGCGTTCGCGTGGCTGCAATCGTGCCCGGATTCGCGATAACAGGTGCATCGTTGGCGCAACCGTGCGAGAAATGAGTGTATTTAAGTGATAAGGCGTGAACGAATAGCGATTGGAAGAGATCGGATAGAATCGAGCGACGTTTATGCTGTTGTATCGGGTGCGAGTTGTGGAAACGTCACGAGGGTGTTAAAACAAAAAAAAGAAAAAATGAACAGCAGGAGATATCAAGCTTTCGAAGCATCGAAACCTTACCTTTCGATTTCTCCATGCTTCCTCTTCACACGTCTCGACTAATTTTAATTCTTCAAAGTGCAATCAGTCCATCAGTCGCTCTACTTATCATATATCAACTTTTCCAACGTGTTCTCTCGTTCGGTCGATATCGCACGGTCCGTTCTTCCGCTCATTACAATTTTAAGTGCTTCCTCGAACATCCGTTAATACGGCCGACATTGTCGAAAACGTGACGTGCGCCGAAGATTCGCAGGAAATTGTAACATTCAATCTCGCGAAACGTTGGATCCCACCGAATTCGTCGACTCCCGTCTTCCATTGCCTCTTGCTTCCTTTCAACATCGAACATTTCGGAAACTTTCTCTTCCGCTGATTACACCGAATCATCGGCGACCCATCCGATATTAAAATTCCGGAGTGTCTCTACGTACTTGATTGAATTACCTTTAAATCTCGGACCGAATCCCTGTCGTCGTTACTCAATTTCGGCGATCTCCGTTAGGAAGAAATCCGGAGCATCGATTAAACGAACTTTAGCGAAATCGGAATATACGAATTATTAGATCGAATGTTTGTTGCAAATACTACCCTACGCAACGAATCACGCTGCTACACTATAGCGATGGATTAGGCTAACGGGTCGACCTTTTTCGGAGTTTTAATCGATAAACTCCATTTGTCTTTTCGCAGCTGAAAGTCAGCGCGAGCGATTAAATTCGTTGCTGCGAGCGACAGGTTGGCGACCGCTGGTCTAGATCGTTGAGACCGACCTCGTCGAATGCGGTCATTTGCCACCCCCGTCGGTCCAGACGGAGAATATGATTTGTTTCCGTTGAAAAACGAGAGAACGACGGAAGAGGCGGCTGAAGGTATTAAAAATTCCGAAGAAACGTAGGCGGAGTGTAGGCGCGCCGCGGCCATCTCGTTTGCACGGCACTTAGACTTTTATGGAGTTCATTTCTCGGCAGGGTAGCAATGGAACTTGGAACCGAGAAGATTCCCCAGAGCTGTGGGGTGGAGAAAAAGCTCTAAAGCGTAAACTATGAAAAACACCGTGACAGGGCCGCGGTGCTGATTTCGCCGTTGAATATTTCTCCCGTCGGCGGTCTCCTCGGCAAGAGTAAGGGGTCAATCGAGCGTTTTGAATCGATTGACATTTCCGCGCCAAGGGGGAAGCGAGGTCGCTAATGGTATGCCACTGCTCGAAAGATTCTCGAACGCAAATTTACGCCGTGGCACTCGAGTGTGACTTCGTCTCGATAATGGTATCGTTCGCTCCTCCTCCCCTCGGTTTGAAAAAGCAAACGGTCTCGGATAAAACGGGCTCGTTGAATTTGAAAGTCATGTAAGTTCTGTCCGTGACGCGGTGCTTTCTCGGCTCGTTGATTCCGAAAAACAGAAAGCGTGTTTCCGTTTTATCCGGTTTATTTCTATCTGCTAGGATCGCGCCGTTGGAATCCCACGACTTTCGGTATCGAAAAGAACGAATTTCTTCTCTCTTAGCAGTTTCGCGCTTTCGTACGAGCTATGCTCGTTTCGCCGCGCCGCAGTCGATCGTTTCTTTCCTTCGGCGGTCGCGTCTTCGTCGACTCTGCAACCACGTCGGAATAACCGTGCTTCCTATCGTTTTCTCGTGTACGAGACAAGATATACCGAAGAAAGACGCTGTTAAACCGTGCAACCGTAAAGATTACTTTAATCGTGTTTGGACTAAGCCTCGACGGTCAAACTTCGACACCTCACAGTCTTTGGACGCCGATTTTTTTAACTTTGCATAGATTGCAAAACGGGAGTGAAAATCGGTGGAGGATGTCAGGAATAACTTTGCGACAATCCGACGAGAGGAATCGTGACAACCTGATATGGAACACTGTAGAACCATATTAATTTATCGCGACGGCGCGGGCGGGACGGCGGTATATCGGAATACAGGATCGAGCGATGTCCATTGGCGACACACCGTGTCACAGGATATTCGTACGACACTCGTGTGCTCGCGAATGAATTTTTCGAATGGTCGAAAACGCGATCGTGCACAGATCGCGTATTTCATTTTCGCGCTCGCACGTATCCCACGAATATTGGCGCGAAACGTGTAACGAACGACAGATGGAATTTACCTGGACCGTATAAATATCGGTGAAAATTCCGACTATCCGTGCGCGTACATCGCGAGATATCGAATGCTCGATGAATAAAAGTTGATGAGCGCACGTAAAACGCGCGCGCCTCGGTTTGCAGCTGTGTATTTTTATTCATTACTCCCAACCGTCATGGGGCTGCATTCGAACGAGGAACAAGATGGCCGCAAAATGAATCCCCGATATCGCTGGTTGTATTAAAGTATCGATCAACATTGCGGCACCGCGCGAAATCCATTAACGTCTTCGTTAGTCAATACGCCCGAGCGTAGCTGCGTTTCATTGGAGATTATCGTCGATAGTTGCTTCAACGTTCGAAGGGATCCGCGATGCTTGTCAACAAAAGAGTCAGCGATTCGAGAGACTAGCCGGTATGAAAAAATCAGCGATTTAATAATCCGATAGCCGGGCAGGTGATTTTCGAGCGAGCTCGTTGAATGTTAGCCGTGACGCAAAGTCTACGTTGTACGTAAATTCCACGCGTCGGATAATTTACGTAACCTATTGGCGAAATCCTGATGACCACCGATCAAGGATTATCCCGTGCTGGATCGCTTTGATCTACCGCGTGTAAAATCTTGCACCGTGCGCCGGCAAAAGATCAAGTGGACTCGGATGGAGAGACTTCGCGACAGCAAAATATGCTGCCGGGATTTACGTGCTACTTAAACCCAAGGCAGCTCTTTTTCATTATTTTTCACAGTGTTTCTGAAACTGAACGATTACTTTGAAACTTGATATCGAATGCGAGTGTTAAAATAAACGCGAGCAAGAAGATTTGTACTCTTTGCCCCTACTTCCAACTTTCGACTCTTTGCTCTCCAATCCTTATCCTCTTAGCTTTCCTGTTTACCTTGTTATTCCCTTCTAATGTTAACAAACGCTAACAGACTCTCTCGCGCGACTAACAACCAATTAACGAACCAGTGTACTTCTCGACCACGTTACACTCGTAAGCCATAGTACAAGCGTCATACACCACGTTCTTCCCGACGCCCCAAACTCTACTTACTTTCCTAGAATCTCTTCAGACACACTTTACCTAAAGCCCAACCTCGAATCCAAACAACCACTCGACCCTTTTCTACAGCGCTTCTAACGCTTGTTAAATTCACCGCCAACGCAAGCAACGTTCGTTTACATTCCGAGACTCGCGAAGCTCGTTCGTCCCTGCGGTTCGTCGCTTATCGACGATAATCATTTCTGTAATAGACCTCGCGTTCCGATCGACAGCCCTCGAATCGGCGAGCAGGCCCGTTCTCGAATCTCTTTTTCAACGCGTTACGATATCGTTGTGGAATTTAATTCGAAGAAAAAACCGAAACACGCTCCGCCTTCGGTTAATCGGATCGATTCACGAATCCGTCGTCTCTTGGTCGATCGCTAACGAACGCCTATTGTTCCAGGAATCAGGCTCGACAACATGAACTCTAGCGGGGAATCAGGCGGCACGATGACCGAAGACTACGAGGTAACAGGCTGCGGTCCGCCGGAGGAGGAAACAGGTTCGAACTTGCCAGTTTGGGAAGCCGCAGCCGCCTCTCTGACACTGGGCTTCCTCGTTCTGGCGACGGTGTTGGGAAACGCGCTGGTGATCCTCAGCGTGTTCACTTACAGACCGTTGAGAATCGTTCAGAACTTCTTCATCGTTTCTCTCGCGGTGGCGGACCTCGCCGTTGCGATTCTGGTGATGCCTTTCAACGTGGCGTACCTTCTTCTAGGAAAATGGATCTTCGGTATACATCTCTGCAAACTGTGGCTCACCTGCGACGTGTTGTGCTGCACCGCGAGCATTCTGAATCTCTGCGCGATAGCGTTGGACCGGTATTGGGCTATCACGGATCCGATAAACTATGCGCAAAAACGCACCCTGAAGAGAGTTCTAGCGACGATAGCTGGGGTCTGGGTCCTCTCGGGGGCGATCAGCTCGCCGCCGTTGGCGGGTTGGAACGACTGGCCGGAGGAACTCGAGCCGGGAACGCCTTGTCAGCTAACCAGAAGGCAGGGTTACGTGATTTACTCGTCGCTCGGTTCTTTCTTTATACCTCTGCTGCTGATGAGCCTAGTTTACCTCGAGATTTTTCTGGCGACGAGAAGGAGACTCCGAGAGAGGGCCAGGCAGAGCAGATTGGGCGCTGTCCAGTCCACCAGGCATCGCGAGGTCGACGACGCGGAGGAATCCGTCAGCTCGGAGACGAATCATAACGAGAGATCGACGCCCCGTGTTCACGCGAAGCCTTCGTTGATCGACGACGAGCCGACGGAAGTGACGATAGGTGGAGGAGGTAACGCGACCACGTCCTCGAGACGGATGGCCGCCGGCGCTAGCGCTCCTGCCACGACCACCACCGTCTATCAGTTCATCGAGGAAAGACAGAGGATCTCCCTGTCGAAGGAGAGACGAGCCGCGAGAACGCTTGGCGTCATCATGGGCGTATTCGTCGTCTGCTGGCTCCCGTTCTTCCTCATGTACGTCATCGTGCCGTTCTGTCCGGCTTGCTGTCCCTCCGATCGAATGGTCTACTTCATCACGTGGCTCGGTTACGTCAACAGCGCCCTGAATCCACTCATCTACACGATCTTCAATCTCGATTACAGGAGAGCCTTCAGAAGGCTGCTGCGTATTCGCTGAACAGGCCCGACGGGCGTTTTGTTTAGAAACTGTGGGAAACGCCGGTTCCCGTTCTCGTTGCTGTTTTGTTCGTGCCGGCGCGGCGATTCCGACCACGGTAACCGTCTCGATCCGGTCGCGATCGGTCGACGAACGCGATCGCGAGTTTGGTTGACTTCCGAGAACGGAGAACTCGCCCGGATGATCTCTGTATACCGGATACGGTGCAATTGGAAACGTAGAAAGCTTCCGATGCGAAAGTTGCACTCTTCGAGAATGAACCGCGTACCCTTCGCATCGTCGCAGAGGCTAGAGGCCTACGTAGCATCGAGCGCACAGATATCAACGGGGACTGGTCGATCCACGGTCCTACGAGGCCAGTTCCTTTTCGACCCGAGAAACCATCGAGGCGACCTTCGATCGCGCGGACGTCCGTCGACGAAATTACGAGGAAACGACATCCCGGAAATTTCAATGGAACGAGTTGTGCGTCGACGCGTATTTTCTCGGAAACTACGAGGGAATTGGACAACCCGCGTCGAGAGGGAACTAAACCGAAGAGATTCGACGAGCGTGTCACGCGTGTAGACTTCCGATGAATTTTAATGACGCGATTCTCGGGTTCGTTTCTTCGGTAGCAACGATAACGAGAAAAAACTAGGTACGAATTCGCGTCGCGTTAAAGATCAACCCTTTACGGTCAGCGAGCACCGTACGGAGATACAGGGGGAGTTTCCTCTGTAAGCCGTCGGGCAGATTATTAAATTATCGTGGTAGTTACAATCTCCGCGTACCTAAAAAAAAAAAAAAAAACGCAGAGCGATTACGATGAAACATGGAGCGTTCGTTACCACGCAAAATTATTCTTGAGATGAGATGTTGCAAAGCTCGCGGTATACGCTCGCACGTATATCGAATTATCGATCCAATTCGTTCCGTCTTTGATACTCTTCCAGGACGAATAGAAATTTCATTAATCTCCGAGGCATCAAATAAAGCAAGAAACCTGGCGCATCGCGAAACGCTGAAATAATCTCTGCATTCGAACCAAGTTCCGAACAAGTTGCAGTCTCCATAAACACGCTACTTTACGTTTGTATCCGATTAAGGCAACAACGTCGCGATCCAGAGATCGCCAGCTTACGGAAGATGCTCCTTATGTGTCTCATACGGTGTCGGCTGACCGCAAACGGTTAACTGCTGAAACAGTGTGCGCGATAGTCCAATTTCGCAGTAGCAGTCACCGGGTGTAGACCGTCGTGGGTAGTTTCATTAAAGTTGCTCCATTAATCCTCCGAAGTGACCGGAGGAAACAAGCACGCGGATAGAGGATCTCAAGGAAATGAAGTCACAGGCTGGATCGTCCAGCAGCCACTGGGTCGTTCTGTTTTCTCCGCTGATCTTACCTCGGCAATCTTACACGTTGTTTCGCTCCGGTTAAGCGACGTAAGCGCAAACGCTGACCGGTGGATTCGATCGGCCGACGGTCAGTTCGAGTGCGCGCCATCGAGGAACGATGGATCTCGATTCTGCGCGTTCGATGGACGCGATTGAATCATCGTACGGCATGGAAACTCGAGCATGGTATCGAGTCGATCGTTCCATTTTCCAAGAAACCCCGTGAAATAACAGTCATGCGAGAAAAGCTATTCAACGCGACGGAAATATACGCTATCGAATTTTTCAACGTTCCTCCCATTGAATGTCGGTGTTTCGTTATCTCTTGGAACAGCAAAGGTCGCAAATATATATACGATAGTTCTTCAGATTCGATGGGAGAAAAGTTTCGTTCGAACGTGTATCCAAGAATTGTAAAAGAAACGGTCGTGGATCGCGCGAGTCGTGGAACGATCGAAAAACGAAACGTTTCACGGAGGAAAACGCGAGACGCCAAAGATTCTTTTCGCAGCGTCTCGGTATAAACAGAGCACGTCACGTTTACGGATAGGAAATTTTCTACGAAATCGACCAAGACTCCAGTTAAGACGTTCAGAAGGTAGACTTACGGTATCCTAGATATGCGCACGTATTGTATCGTACCTAGCTAAGTTCGTGCCATAGGTGGATACACACGTTCGACATTCTCTCTCGTCTTTTAATGGCAGAAAATGAGCGGGGATTTATTCGCGGAACAATGGGGATGGTTACCCTCCTCCCGATAGCCGATGATCGTTCCCTCGAGTAGCCCTTGTGAAAGAACGTTTTATTTGAAGTCGACTACTTGCTTCCTTGACGCTCGACCTTCGTTTCTTCGAAGAATCGTCTGGTCGGAGTGCCGCTGAAATGTCACGATCCACGGTCGCAGACAGAAAATTGAAAGACCCGCTACGTAATCGAGTCAAGGTTGCTTCTTTGACGAGTCCAACGCTGTTCAGAATTCCATTTGCGCATAGGAAAGTATCGGGCGCGTGAATCCTTCATAATTTCGTTCCTCTATTTCTCGAGCTTAGTCTTCGAGGATCGAACTGGCTCGAAGCGGAATTATTTCTCGTGTAACGCGGGGAGGCGTGCGTACCCTGCTTTGCTCTAATTACGCACAAAACGGCAACGTTAATTGTCGTCGATTTCAGCGTCGAGAAGTAGTCAATTTCAAAGAGCTTGCGAGGAATTTTCTCGAGAGAGAACGTTGATCCCCTCTCGAGGAGCGAAAGGTAGCGTTCAATTTTTCTTAGCAACGATAACGAGCGAGGTTTCGCGTATCTTAAACCCGCGGTAGGCGTATCTACCCATTCATTATCAATCGCAAGTATTATGGTTGTGAATATTAATAACAAAGAAATCCAAAGCGCTAAAGAAAGCACTGTAAACAGAAAAAAAAAAACGTCGTTCGTCGTTGACGAGGACGTTGACGTCTCGGCGACGAGTGCGCGTGCACACACATACGAGCGTTGTGCGACGCATACGCGAAAACACACACACACACACACACACACACACACACACACACGTACAAATATATATAAACACCGATAAACGAAAACGAAAGAAGGACGATGCGGTGGTTTGCATGTACTCTGTATGAAATTATATTTAAGTCGCCTCCAGTCTTCTTTCCATTGACACGCAGCTATACCGACACGTGCACACGAATCGCGCACTGGACGGATGTATTCCACGCGAACGGAATACAAAGTTCGCTTCTCTGCGCTTCGAGCTATGCATCGCCGTTGAGAAGAAATCGCGACGTTTTTATTCCCCAGTTTAAAGAAATGTCTTTTCAATTTGTACGAATACCCGATTAAAACGGGCTCGCCGCTCCTGTCAATTTGTTAACGGAACACCGGGGGCGATGCGATACGTCCGACGGAACGCGTACTCGATCATCGACGCGCTCGTTTATTTCTTTATCGATGCACGATTGAAGCGCACGGAGTCGAATTAAACGAGTCGTTACCGATTAACGAGGGAACAGGTGATACGTTTGCCGTCCCCTCGAGTGCCGCGCCAAATCAAATAAAAGCAAGAGAATGCAACCAGATAAAAAAAGAACGAAAAAGAAAAAAAAAAAGAGAAGAGAAACGGTAAAAGGAAAACGAGAGGACATTCATGGAAAGCGTCGTGCGTGGTAACGCGTACGCGGAGATCGTGTTTGGAAAAGATGATATTAAAAACTCGACCTCGTCGCCAGGGCACTCTATAATAAGGTTGTGATAAGGTTGTGAGAACACGTTCGTAGCCGTGCTACGAACAACACAAGATTTTTAATTATTAGGATAGACAAATGAACATCACTTTATTCGTGACACTGTCCAAAACCTCGGCACGAATTTCTATCCAAGAGGGAATTAAACGCGACGCTTGAATAATTTCAATTGGACGTTGAAGCGGACCTCCGGGGACCCCGCGTTTCTTTCAATCCCTTACAAAAATTTCCACCCCGTTCGGCTCCCGTCTTTCTCGTTCACCGATTGTCGCGTCGACAAGGCTTCCGTCGTTCCATTCCGTTCTCGTCTTTAAAAAGGGAAACTTTGTCCGTTCCTTTTACGATGGCAAACTGTGTTAAAGCGGCAGTGAATATTACCCGGGCTAGCTCGGATTGAAGCCAGACTTTACGTTCGTCCGAAGTGCTCGTAAAACGAGACCGACGTCGCCTTCCTCCTCCTAAGCTCGCGAACGAACGGGTCAGACCGTCCGATTAGCGCGATTTTACTTCGTTACGCGTTTTACGGTGATTTTTATCGCTTTCGTACTCTGAAAAGCGAAACGGACGTGAACTGTTTCGCGATTAAAGCGAAGCGATTAGTCACCGCTTGGGTATCTGCCAAGTGAGTTTCGCGCGCATTTCAAGAATTTTTTGTTCCTCCCCGGACCTCGAAAAAGCACAGCTTCGAGCCAAGCCCTTTCGAATGCTACCTAATTTAACTACTTTAACGCATTCGCGAAATTGGCGAGACTGCGCGAGTAATTGTCTGGAAACGAAATTTTAGTCTTGTGGAAATGTTCGCGTGTATCGACCAAAATATATAGGAACGAAAGGGTTAATCGAAGCTCGACGAATTTTGCGGTATACTCGAGGAGTTCGCGATCGCGTCGCGTTCCTCGCAACCGGAATGGACGTTGGAATCATTTTTCGGGGCGACTTGTCCCGTCGCTCCTTTTTTCGTCGAGTAATGTGCCAAAAAATAAAGTTTCGCAGAGTTTTCGACAACATTCGTTCCAACGAAAAGCACGTTATCCGGCGACCAGCCGAATGATCCGAGTACGGTTCGACCCGAAACGAATTTTATTTTCACGGAAGAACGCGTTCCACGGCTGCTTCCACCCACGAGCCTCGAGCAGGTTCGTTCACGAAAAAGTTTTTTTTTTTTCGCGTGTGCACGAGAGCACGGACGTACAACCCGAGAAATTAGAGTAATTACGTTGCACGGAGCAATTAAGAAGTTTTCAAAAGACGCGTTCTCGTATCAACCGGCCCGTTTCCGCTCGCTTCCATCCGGTGTCTTGGCAGTTCATCGTGGTACGTCTTTCTTCCTATTAATTCCGCTTGCGATATTTTCCCTCGTACCGGCACACGGTAGCTCGAATTAATATCAAACCTTCGAGCGCTATGTCCGTCGATCTCTTCGATCTTGAACATCTTCCATGATACACCCGAAAATTCTATCGTCGAATCAAAATTAATCCGCACCTAATCAATTCCTGCTCTAACATCATCTCGTTTCCCAGATACGTAACGCGAGTCTCGAAACATCCTGGACCAACGTTGAAGCACTAATGAGTCACTCCATGTTCGCGTCTTGTAATAACCATTGTTACCAGTGGTCTTCTTTACGTACAAAACGTAGTTCCTTGGGTTCACGTCGGTTCGTTTAAGCATCAAGGAAACCGGAATAATATCCTTGCTCGGCATCGCCTTGCATATATTAACGCGGCACGGTTAATTATATCAAAACACCGCGTTCGTCTCGAAACAACGAGGTCGAGCTTCAACGTTCCCGCCACTCTCGAAGTTAACCGGTTTACTCTTGGATAGGAAGTTCGGAAGTGCGTAGATATATTATTGTACTACGTTATATATAACATTAAACACTACATCACTTATACATTCGTATCAGCAGGTTGATTTTGCGAGAAACATTTCGCGGATCGAAGCGCAGAAATTTTCAAACTTTTCTATATCGCGTCTGGCCACCCCTCGTTTTGACGACGTTATGCCTCGTAAACTTGATCGTTGTAAAATATTTTTCTTGAATTATTTTTGCGAATCGATTCGTGAATTCG